TTGGGATGACTTCCTGATGAGAAAACTGATGGTTTCAAACTTTAATTTTTAATAGACTTTCATCATTGAACTATTAAAAATTTCCGTAAAAAAAAAAGTTCTCTGAGATATCTGGGACTGTACAGAACCCAAGAGACCTCTGGGCTCAATGAAAAACTGTGTAGTATAAAATGTATATTCTACCACCCATCTTTCTCCTCAGGTACAGAAAGCAACAGGTGGCAGAACGGTCTTGTTTTGAAGGCACTTTGGTTACTGTTCAAGCTGCACTATACCCTAACACACACTGCCTGCACAGCCTGCTGTTCCATCTTCTTTGTGAGCAGATCATATTAAGGCAGAGAAAAAAGAACATTGCTATTATTGTTTATTTCCTTAGGCATTTCAAAATGTGCTTTCCAAAGGAACACTGTGTATAACATACATTCTTTGCTAATCAGCAGGGTAGGATTTCAGTCAGACAGTTAACAAAAACCAGAAATAAGCTGGGATAAATTGGTCTTGATTTGCAGGGTGATGGATGGTGTTACACCAGTGCTTTTGTGTTTCAGCTTGTCTGTGAAAATAGATGCATACAAAGACAAGACAGCTTGAAAAGATGTGTTGACACTTCTCACACAACCTGTATGAAGCATAAAGAGCTTTTATGAAAATCAAGCAACAGCATCATTATTTCTACAGTGGTTAAAGTCCAGTCATTCTGATGTGTTGAAGTTTTCAACACTTTTAAAGACTGCACAGTCTTTTCTTATTGTCTTTCACAGAAGGGCCATGGGAAAAAGGCTGGTTTCTGGTTCTGTACTTACTGTTGCTCCAGTTTGGATTGTTTGTACTTGCTAGACAACACAGTTTGTAATAATTGAGGACACATATAAATGACTTCCAAAAAGTAAATTTTATCATTTTTTTTTCTGTAATCACATTCTGTATGAGTTGGAGAAAGTAAATCAGAATGTAAAATGTCCAGCATTCAAATCAAGATTTAGCTCTCATTTCCTCAGTGAGTGAAAGATCTGAAATATTTTGCTGTATTGGAATAATGGAGAATTATTATTTTCATATTAATAAGTAACCTACCCCTCTGAACACAGGTAATTTAGTGCATGTTGTGTACAATATAATTTCCCTACTTGTAATTGATGGTCAGCTGTAGTTTCATTAATTTCATTCTTCCTTTCTCTCTTTTCAGTAAGCAGTATGTTATCCCGTTGCAGTGCAGCTGTCCCATAGATTTTGAATTCCACATTGATTTTATTCAGCTTCACAGAGCCTTCACTGTCCAGCCAACATATGGTACCTTGAACTTCTTTAAAATCCTAAGTGTTAAGTCTGTATTTATTTAGTGGAGTTCCTTGTGACAGTGTATTCAGTGCTGTGCAGAAAAAACCCCTTTGCCTCAGAGTTTTTCCCAGGTAAATGTAGCCAGTCATATGCAGCCTCATGGCAAATAGCCATCTGTGGCTGGTAGATTGCTTTTGGTAATGCCTGGCTACAAACCTCTGACAAAATATGAGATGTTATCCATCCAGCCTTTGTACTTCCAGAAGAATATCCCAGAAAAAAACATCAACCTAGTAAAACTTTAGTCAGAAATTCTGATAGCCTGAACCTATGAGTTCAGCTAAGGTACTGAAGGCCATTTGGAAAGCACCAAGTTTTAGCTCCTACTTAAGCCCTTGTGCTCATGGATCAGTAATTACAGAATGATAGAATAATTTAGGTTGGAAAAGACCTTTAAACCTAACACTGCCAACAGTTAATTTTCAAGGATGAAATATGCTAACAAATTCTATACACACACACAAAAATCAAACCCAACCAAATGAAACTAACTGGTGTTTACATGTTGCAGAAACCCAGTCAATGGGCACTTTATAGAGATGAGAAAACAATATTTCTGATGAGCTGAATAAGCTCCTTATTGCAGAGAAGCTGATGAGAGACCTGTATCCTGGCATTGCACTGAATGTTTGGGGATATGAACGGTGGTTAAAGTGGTTGAGAAAATAATGGAATAGGTAGTAAGGAAATAAGGTCAAACAGACACAGTTAATGCATCAAATCCAGATGAGTCCCCCAGCTTGGAAGAGCAGAGAGGAATATGTTTATAATGCTTTGCTCATGAAAGCAGAAAGTGCCAAAGACTTAAGAGTAGCAGATGCAAGTGAAGAATTTCTACATATAAACAGGCAATCATTTTCACAGCAGTATGAAATATTATAACCCTACTGTCAAGTCTCTCTGCTATTGCAAAATATCTTCTGTTATCTGGCAATGGATACAGTTCTTGAAAGACACTTTGAGACCTGAAATCTTTTCCATGCCTATTGCTTTCCACTCAGACATTAAATTGGTTAAAAAAACATAGCCCAGAATCAATTTCATCCCACTTAAGTGAGCTCATGTTATATGGACTCTTACTGTTTTTCTCCTCTAATCACAGGAATCATTCCAGGCAATGGAAAAGTGGAAGTGACTGTAAAATATTCCCCACTTGAGTATGGAACAGCACAAATGACAATGCAGTTATGGATTTTACAGTTTAATTCCAAACCCCGTGTGTGTGTATTCACAGGAACATCAACACCACATCTGGGGCTGATGTATGTGTGGCTGACTGATCTTTCAGGTTTTTTTGCCCAGCACTAAAAAATAGCTATGTAATAGGATTTCATACCACTTTGCTATAATAATTTTAAGCATTTTTATCTCTGGAGGCCTCAAAGCACTAATGCAATTTGACTGTTGATACATGTACCTGTTCTTTTATATTTTTTGCTCAGAACATCTTTAATCTGTGTGAAGTGAAACTATCTTAATAAATATAATGAGAAGTTACATAACCTTAAAGAATTGCTGAGCATCCTCAGCTTCTATTATTCCTGCTCTTTATTATTCTTATTGTTGAGGCCTTGCAAGATGTAGGGGGTTTGAGCAATAAGGCCTTTTGGTCTGTACTTAATTTTTTTGTGGACACTGAAGATTAAAAAGTTTGGTTCCAGTTGTAATTTGGGAAAGAAATTTCCAGTCTCTTTGTATACTTAAAGGTGATGTAAATGCATGTACTGGACTTATATGCCATTTACAGAGAACTTAGAAAAGCAATTTCTGTCCTTTTGACATCTAGGAAAGAACATTTTGACACACATCCAGAGAAAAAACCTGTGTCTGTGGGAAGATCCATAGTGTGGAGAAGAGACCAATTCAGCCAATCACGATCCAAACCTATTCAAAAAGTAAAGGTGTGAAAAGATAATAATTACAAGTACCTTTCTGGGCTGGAAATCTTTCATGTTTCTATTTCTTCCTATTAATTTGTGTCTCATAGGAAATTGAGTACCAGAACCTCAGATTCCCCACAGACTTGTCAAATCCGTATGCTGTAGCTACTGTTTTGAATCAGGAACCAGGAAAATTGAGGATTAAGGACTTGAAAGAAGGTAAAGTAATTAAGCAGCGTAAACTTGGTCATAGCATTATTTGTAGGTTTCTGATGAGGAACTTGCGTTCAAAATTGCTGAGGTGATGTGACTGCAGTTTCTGTGAGAAATCTCACCTAAGCTTTATGTAACAATGGGTTCATTTTAATGCATGGATTTCACAATGGAAAATCCAATCTAGTTTGAGGTGTGATATGCCTTTCTGATATTCCTGCAGTCCTTTCCCAAGCCAGAGAAGGGATAAAAACCAGAGAGATGAAGGAAGCCATGTTTCAACTCAAAGTCAAAAAACTTATTCGGGAAGAGGAAGCAAATCATCTAAAGTGGTAAGTGTTAGTTAACCATGTTAACGAGACTGGGATTTGTTTAACTGAGGCCTCTGTGAATGATGTATGCAATATTCAGTAGTGCATAATGCTGACATTTCTTGTCCTGACAGACTTGTTTTACAGCTAAGCTGCTGTTGTTTTCCTTTCATTGCTTTCTCTTCTGCCTCAGAGCAGTCTCAATAGTAATCCACAGTAGTACCCAGTGAGGTCTTTGATTGTGTTATGGTTCCATTCAGAAAGAAACCTGCTGAAAACCTTGTTCACCTAACCTTGTTCTCAGGCATCTCACCTTGTGCCCTTAAGGGCAAAGGAACATTTTGTCATGGTTGTAAATAAATTGAGGCTAAAATGAATAACTGAGTGAATGAAATTACACTTGGAAATGTTCAAAAAACATGTAGATGTGTTGTTTAGCGACATGGTTAGTGGAGGACCTGGCAGTGTTTGGTTAATGATTGGACTCAGTGATGATCTGTAAGGTCCATTCCAACCCCTAAAATTATATGATTCTATGATTTTTTGATCTTAGAGGTCTTTTCCAACCTTAGTGGTTCTATGATTCTGTGTACATCAAATGGCATAAAGCAAAACACAGTTGGGTGTGTGAGCACCCCATGGTTTCATTTGAAATCCACAGATCTGCTCTTACACCGAGTGTCATGGACACCTAGGCACCTTAGGCAGAGGAGAGAAGTCTGTTAGCCTTTCAATAAAGCAAATTGCATTAAGTAAAGCATTTTTCTTGCCTCCACTGTAAACACAGGCAAGTTCATAAGGGAAAAGATCCAATCTCTGTGGAATTTAAAAACAAGATCATTGAAAGCCGACAAAGGGAAGAAGAGCAATACAAGGTTAGTCTTTGATGTTTTTTCTATGCATTTACAATCAAACTTATACTTTTTCAGCTAGATTATGCAGGGCACTAGTGACTTGTACCAAGCTCTCTACATCTTCAGTTTTCCTTCATATATCAATGCAAACCTGTATTAGCTGTGCTGATTACTGCAGTTGTATCTTTGACTGTTTCTAAAGTGGTTTTATCTTGGAGGTGAACAGCGAGAAGAGTAAGCTGTTAATGGAAATGTAACTAGATATTTGCCCAATGTAGCAGATTTGCACCTAACCACCCAGCCATATCACAGTGCCAGCATAATTCCTGCACAATCCTGTCAGTACCATGGCCACATCCACCATTCTGTGTAAGTTGTACCTCTCTGAGGAGCTGATGTCCAAATGGTTCACAGTGAAAGAGCTGGATCCAGTTTGTATTCTCACACAGAGCCATGGGGAGACAATTCATCAGGTTGTTCTTCTGCACCTTCACCCTCTGACTCTTTGGTTTCTTCCAGTCACTCCAGACTGCAGGTCATCTTCCACAGAGGTGACAAGAGCAATAAGCAATACTTGGTGGCAGGAAGTATTTTTCCTCATGTGGCACTGCCCTCAGGGACAGACTGGGCTTGTCCTCTTCTCCTGCCTTCTGGGTATTCAAATAGTTTCTAACATCCCACCAACTTCCAAGGCACTGTTTGTGGGAATAAAATTATTAATAGATAGGGTGAAGGCTTGATTTATACACTTAATTAGGTGCTGTTAATTAATTCAAACATTATATTTAATACTAAAAAGGAGGAAGTGAGTAAAAAAAAAGGATCTGGATTGTGAGATTGTTTTATCACTGAGTTAGATGTGTGTTGACTTTGCTTAGAAATATTTCCTCACCTGCTGATTCTGGCTGTGCAAAGCAAACCATGTCTCATTGGGACAGAGATCTGATTGAAACTCAGGCCTGAAAAGGCATTATTATACTTTGACTTGCTCAAAATGGACCGCAATAACCAGTCTCTAAAAGGGAATGAAGTCTGTGTTTTGTTAAGTACCTCCAGAATGTTACATTGTAAGTGAGTTTTGCTAATTGTAAAGGAGGAAAGAATTCACTGGATGCTTTGTACTAATGTGATTGTTCTTCCTGGTGACAAATTAGATTCAAAGAGGAGGTGCTGTCATAGAACAGGAGTTTCAAAGGAATAGAGTAGAAGTTTCTTCCAGACGTGTTATCCGGCGTGTGGATCAGGTGTGTTTATATATGTTATTATCACCTGCTGTACATTATAATCACTTAGTAAGCTAGCAAACAGCCATAGATGTTTGACATTGAATGCTTTTCCTCCTAGTATTCCTATTTCTGTGTCACTGCTTTATTTCCCACTTTACTTTTAGGTAGGGCAAGCACCAAGCTACATGCACAACTCATCTGATGTTCTGATCTAATATGAGTCAAGCAAAATCCTGCAGGCCTAGCCTGAGATTTACTTTGCTTATTTCTGAAAGATCTCTCAGGAGAAGCTTTCTCATGCCTTCTTGTAAGGTCACAAGATGCAAATCACAAGATTTGCAGCCTTTACCTGCAGGTCAGATAGACAGGAGCATTTCTGGTACTTAGATTTTTCTGTCCTTCTCTGTGATGTCTTTCACCCTCCTTTAGGTATGGGCACCAGCCATTATCACATCTGTGCAAGATGAAGCATGTGTTTGGTGCAGACCCTGTCCATTCTCTCTGCTGTCTGACTGCCCATGTGTTGCTCTGAAGTTTGAGTGTGTGGTTGTCATTTGTGTGGATGCAGACCATGCTACATTATCTGTGCATTCCCCATACTACATCTGCAAATATTTGGTGATTACCTCCCACTTAGTCCTGCAGTGAAAGCTTCTGGTTAAATGCCAATACTGCAAATGTTTTCACTTGATTTAATTTCAGTATTTAGAAATAACATATGGTTTCAGGCCAATGAATGGCTTGGGCTGGAGGAAATTTCTGCCTTATCTAGTTGTAAAAGGAGTTGTCCTTTTCCTTTTCTGTTGCTTTTGTGGGTTTTTTTAATGCCATGCAGCATCCAAATGTCCATCCCACGTTCGACTTGCTCCCTATTGACCCTTGGGATCACAGAAGCAGGATGTTCAGGAAATTCCAACAAGCAGCATACAAGGTAAAGTGAATGACCAGAATGCAGTGTGATGGCATGACACCTTGGAAACAGCACAAAGGAACATGCAAACTAGCACATAAGTGGTATTCACAGCTAGCCATAGATTTGATAGTTTGATAAATATGTCCCTACCTCACCAGGAAATAAGGATCTGGAGTAAGTTTTGTATTCATCTCATGCTTCATACTGCAATCAATACTAAACAAATGCAGATGAATTTATGTCTCTTTTTAAAGTAAAAAATACTTTTGCACAAAAAAAGAGAAGGTTTCAAAATGCATATAGAATACTGTGCCCAGTTGTGGGCCCCTAGTACAGGAAAGACATCAGTAAGCTGGAATGAGTTCAGTGCAGAGCCACTAACATGGTCGGGGCCTGGAGCACTCACTCTGTAAGGAGACAGTCTGGAGAGGGAAAGTAGAGGGAGAGAGCAGCACCTTCCACCTCTGAGGCGGTTACTGATTGATGCTGGAGCCAGAACTTTTGCAATGGTATGTGATGGGAACATGGGAAACAATGGGCATGGATTCAGATAAGGGAGCTAAAGACTGATCAGTATAATCACTTATTTCATTGTGCTTAAATATGATCTTGCATCTTCACTGCTCTTTCCTCAGTAAATCTAAATGTAGCAAGAAGATAGAAATGTCCTGCTCTCCTAGTGTCCAGTTTGGATATTCTCTAATCTATTCACAGTATTGAGGTTTTGAAATGAAATGCTCTTTCCTGTATTGCACAAATAAGGAGGTGACTAAATGGCCCCTTCTGGTATTAAAACCTAGGGCTCTTCATTGCTACCCTGTGATATATGGGCAGATTACACAGTGCAGGTTGCTACTTATTCTCCTCATTCTCAAAGCCACAAAGTCATATGGCCCTGATCAGCTGACTGTTCACTCATTGTTTAATCTGTATATGCCAATAAACACAGCTGAAGGATTAGGACCTAGCAAAATTTAAAAAAAAAAGTCTAATTAGCCCATAAGACTAAATTAAGGTTTTAAACTGTATTTATTGTGTAATGTAATTGTAGAGTTGAGATGAATTCCACATCTCTCTTTCCCATTTTCTCCCTCCTGAACAGAAAATGGTATTAAAAATTCTGAAATAGAGATGTCTGAGTGAGCTCTGTGGAATGAAAACAGTTGCAACATGCATATTTCCATGGCTGTAAATCTTACAGTGTTCAGCTCAATACTAAATTTAAATCATTCTCTCAGGTTTTGAATCAGATTCGGCTCAATCGTTTATTGCTTCTGTTCCGTGGACTGACCAGAGAGGCCAAAGGTCCAGAGGAAGGGTCTGTGCCTGGTAAGGATTAGAAGAACAAGTTGCTATTCTGGCCCTGAGCTATGATAATTCAGGTTGTACTGCAGTGTGTCAGGTGCTTCACATATACACACAGAGTCCTCACAAAGGAGACTTCCAGGTAAAAAGAGAAGTGTGACAAGGTAGAAGCACAGAGTGATTTGGATTGGAAGGGACCTCTGAACACCATCTAGTGCAACCTCCCTGCAATGAGCAGGGAGATCTTCAACCAGATCAGGTTACTCAGAGCCCAGCCTCAAATGTTTTCAGGGATGGGGTCTTTCCACCCTTGCCACAAAAACTTTCTCCCTTATATCTAATCTGAAACTATCCCCTTTTAGTTCAAAACCATTACCCGTTGTCCTATCACAACAGGCCCTGCTAAAAGGTAGAAATGGTTCTAGATAAAATATATCTATTTTTCATACACATAATTTGCCAGATTTAAAAGATGTAGTTAACTCTTCTTAGGAACCTTACAGCTTATCTGCTTAATAGCAGGGCAGAAGCTGTGACCATTCCATCACTGGAAATGTCCAAGGACTGGATGGAGCTTTGGGCTTCCTGATCTAGTGATAAATGTCCTTGGCCTTGGCAGGAGGGTTGGACTAGGTGATCTTTAAAGGTCCCTTCTAACCCAAACCATTCTATGATCCTACATACAGGCCCGAAGAGCAACGAGAGGGCAGAGAAGACATATGCGAAACAGCTAAGTGGACAGATCAGGCAGAGCCCAAGAGGTGAGAGACAGAGGATAAGAGGAGCTTATTGCATGGAGGGTGGAAGAGAGAAAGACACCTGAATGTGTTGAAGACAGTATGTCCAAACTCAGTGAAATGAGGTGGTGGAAACCACAAGATACATGGCCAGGTGGACAGTACTGGGTCGAGTTTTCTTCCTTACTGTTTTCTCATACAAGTGCTTTCAAGTAATCACTTTTTTTAATACTGAAATGAAAGTTCTGGCCTGGAAAACTCACTTATTATTTAACAGTCATGGAAGGAAACTGGCCCTGGATGGGAGTCACAGTTGGGTATATGGAAGACAGAAAAGAATTTGTGTCTCTGATTTCCCACTCCCTCTTTCCACACGATTTG